TTCCCAACCCCAGGCATCTGCAAGGACCACACAGCTGTCCCCTCAGATAAAATGATGGCTTACATTGTCGATGGCTTCGTTTATGGCCCACATGGCCCACTTGAAGCCCATAGGCGGACGGACGTTGATCAAGCCTCGGAATTTATATCGATGTTGTGAGATTTTGCAACTTGTCACCGTTCTCTAAAGCTGAACCAAATTACATTATACACTTGGGTAAAATACTTGAAAATTGTTAAGGGACCAACATGGGTTTTGGTCCTGGTAAAGGACTCGCCCTTTTATTGTGGTTTTCTCTCGGTTTCTAACAAAAGTTTTCCCAAGAAATTTCATATTTTTCAGCTTCAGATTCCCTTTCAAGAGGTTGGCCAATTTATGTTTTAAGTTTGACCAAGTTGAGAAGTTATTACGTGGAAAGGTGAGGTGTATGTGCGTAATTCTAGAATTTTAACTTTTTAAAAATTTTAAGAATTATACATAATCTTTAAAAATATAATTCACTAGTTAAAATGCTGTTTCCATTTAATTTCCTTAATTTCCTTACACACTTAACTAGTTTGGGAAAGTATGTTGCCAACTTCGGCTTGCCAAACTTATTTGCATGCCACATGCAAAGCTCTATATATTGTTGTTTTCCGTTGTTGATGCTGTGTGTGTTTATTGATAACTTTGCTGAAAACTGAGTTTGGCAAATATTTTGATTTGCTCTCCCCGAGGGAGGAGAGAAACCAACAGCAACAAGCCGCTAGATTCTCATATTGTTTAGTTTAGTTTAGCTCTAAAGTTCGGCCTCAGAGTCTGACAACTTGATTGATGGTGGCAACAGTTTTCATTTTGTCTTTTCAGTTGATTAAAATAAATGACTCGTTGGAGAAGCTGACTGCAAATGCAGTCAGTAAGTAAGAAGGCCTTGTCAATTAATAACCCCGACAGTCGATATCGATGGCCAATATGCCATCGTTTCCGTGGGAAAAACCGGGAAATACTCTCGACGGAAGCCAGCAATTTGCCAAGGGCAAGTTGGCGACGCTTTAAGTGACTGCAGCGAAATCTAATAAAAAAAATATAAAAAAAATATGCCACTTCTCCTCCTTCGCAGCTTTGCCGCTTGGCCAAACTTTTACTTTGCTTTTGGGTTTCCTTTTTTTTTCGACTGCCACCAGACATTCTTTTTTGGTTTTTGTGCCAGGAGGATGTCGTTGTCATAAGGAAACTAAGGATTTCCGTTTTGGCTTTGCTCCGTAAGCCCGAGCATCAGCTTTATAAAAATTTCAGTGGATGTTGTGACACAGCACACCGAAAAAGGGAATAAAAATGAGTGGCGAAAAATTATGTAAAAAGTTTTTTCGTGCACGTTTAGCCACGCCCCCTGGTTATTAGTTGGTCACAGCTGCTTGCCCCGTCGGCGGAGATGGAAAAAAAAAAAAAAGAAAAGGCTGCCCAAACACGTCGCAGTGCCACTGCTGAGCAACCATTTTTCATTAAGTTTTCGCGCCATATTGCCTTTCATAAGTTATATACAAGAAATACATTTTATTAGTGTCTTGGCAATTGTCTGTCTCAGAAGAAGAAATGGTATAAATTTCGAGTCATAAATTATGCCCAGAACTCGAGTGTGTTTCTGTGCTCGATGAACTGGGGAAAATGCCTTTGCCGATGCCATTTCCCCATGCCATTTCCCCATTCCATTCCCATTCCTTTGCCTTTGCCTTTGACGTGAGTCTGGCGCTTTATTTAATCCAGTCTTTTGGGGCTCTGGGCTGGAAAACCTTTATCAACAGCCAGCGGGCTCGTCAGCAGCACAACATTCTTTATTTGACAGGACAACAGCAAAGGGAGATGTGGAACATATAGGCCATTTCAGATTTGCATACGTGACGTATGCGTAACGTGGCCGAAATACGAGTACGGTGAACATTCGTTATAGTCAATAAATAAAGAAAAAATCTGGGAGTTTCTTAAGATGCCTTAATAATATTATATTTATTTTTAGTACAAATTAAACAAGTATTTTAAATATTATTATTTTAAGAAATACGAAAACATAATTTTAAGTGGACTTAAATATATTTAATATATTTTAAAATATTTTATAAATGAAAATATTTCTTATATGAGGTATTATTTTAATTATTAAATATTTATATTATTTATTTCTCCCTTCTTTTCTCTTACTTACTGTTGAGAGGCCAAATAACTATTAAATTATAATGTAGACATTTTTTTTAAATTAAAAACTGATTCATATCTCTACAAAGTTGACACAAAACACTGTTTACTTTAAAGGACATCCCCTGTATGTGCTAGTATAGCTTGTGTCTGTTTTCAGTCGTCTAGAGAGCTAATAAAACTTATTGTCATCCGCAGTCTGACCCACATTCTCACTTATTTTGTTGCTAGCCTCTTTTTTTTTTGGGTTTTTCGTTTTTATTTTTTTCTGTTAGTGTTTGCAAAATTCCATTGTTCGTTGGAATAATTTGAATTTTAGAATAATGAAGTCACAAAATGTCAGTGCGCGTTATCAAAATCATTTATATGCGAAACAACTTGCTGGCCATGGAAGTCGACGAGGGGCAGGGGCTCCCAAGCGCCAACTGCCAACTGCCAACTACCAACTACCATTTGCCATATTTTTGTGGCCCGGCATTTTAAATCGCTTACAATGCCTCAAAAACTGAATGCAAAGACCGAGAGATAGTTGGCAGCCCCAACTGGGAATGACAGAATATATATAGTGCATTTATTCCCGACTGAAATAAATGAATTATTGTGCTGGGTGTTGAAGAACTTTCGGTGGCAGCATGTGTGAGCTGTTAATGGAGCTCAGCTGGGGAGCTCAGCCCCTAAATACTTGATACTTAAATTAAGACTGAGAGGGAGAGATAGTAAAAAGTAACAGAAATTCATTTGTTTAAATTTTGATTACATAAAAAGTATTTTCTTGTCATAAATTAAGCTAAGGAAAATGTAGAGAATTGTGAGAAATGTAATGAAGTTAAATTTAAAGAAACTTTAATAAAAAGAAATGGTTCGTTGTTTATTAAATAAATTTATTAAAAATGTATTATTAAAAGGGATGCTTCATCCCACCATAATAATAAGATCTTGACTCCCAAATCGCAAAAGGGAAATTAGCATTCCTCACCAACTTTCGTGCCATTATGACCGTAAGACTGTCAAGAACAAACATACAATAATTATAATGATGATCAAATAAAACTGGAAATTAGCCCAAAGTGAGTCAAGTCGAGCGAACAAAAGGAGCTAAAACTACTGACAAGGACCACAAAAAGTGACAGCCGAATTGGCTGGAAGACAACGGCTAATGAGCGTGAGATAGGGCATGAGAGTGGTGGAGTTGGCTAAAAGGCAGACATACTTTGGGTCTAGGCAAATACCAGAATTCGGCTTGCGGCAGGACTAAGCGTCTTAGTGGCCATCAGTAGAAAGGGTAACTGGATGGAGAAGGAATCCCTTGAAAGCAAAACAAAGGAGACCAAAAGCAGATGGCAAGAGGGGGAAAAAAAAGAAACTCAATTGCCGCACAAACTGAGCCGCCATTGTTTTCTTAATTGAGTGCCTCTGTGTGTGTGTGTGTTTGTGCCAGTGTGTTTACCCAAAGTCGAGTGTGTGTGGAGGGGGAGGAGGAGCAGGACCAACGCTCTATTTGTGCAGAGTCGCTTATCAATTACATTGAATTTATCCAGGCACAGGACCTCCCCTTGAAAAAGGAACCCCGCCCAATCAATGGCCGCCGGAAATGATGGCATAGGCAGTCACTTCGACTTTCGTTCTCACTTCCCCTTCCTCCCGTTTACCGCTCTACCCCCCCTCTCTACTTCCTGGTTTCCGATTTGACGCTGATTTCACAAGTCGCCGCACGGAAATTGCCAGGCCCCATTTATGGCTATATTACACAAACCCCGCCCGTACCCTCACTCCTGCTGCACTTGAGGAAGGTTCCCCTTTCATTCTGCTTTTATTATGTATCTCTGCACTGACTTTCAAATCCCCAATCCTCGCCAGATTTTTGTACCCATACCGATTTATTCCATTCACGTAACAGTCGGTGAACAGTTTGATTGCCGCATTGCCATGTAAATCTCTGGGCCTCTAAAAAGTCCAACAAAATCTGGCCCCCGACAACACGCATAATCGAGCTGTTAATTTTGGCCAATAAAACTTTGTCGATTTAATGCCGGCTACGTGTTGGCTTTGGCAGGAAAATAAAAAAATATAGTGATAAAAAGAGAATCTGCTATTGACAGGCAGTAAAAAACTTGAAGTCTTTCTGTTTTTTTCTGCCTTTTATTTGCTTTAATTAAAGTTAAGGGAGTTATAATTCAGGTAATACACATGTGTTTCAATTTCAACTCGTAAATGCCAAGTGATCCATCAAGAAAAGTTGCTCTTAAAAATAAAAACAAAGACAAGGAAAAACAAGCAAGTTTTCCTTCATTAAACATCGTGATACCCAAACCCGAAACCTCGAAGTAAAGTTTTTGCTGTGCGAGTATCTCAAACTTTTCACCAAGTTTACGCATAATTTTTTACGATATTTTTCCGCAGTTTTTCCCTTTGGCCAGCTCACCGCTGTTATTGTTGTTAGGAAAGGCAGGACTTTCCCTGGCAGCCAAGGATCCCTAATAGATTTCCGGGCAAAAAATTTTATTCACTTTCTGTATATTGGATTGGATTTTATTATTAATACCGTTTGCCTAAGCTGTGGATATTAAGATTATAGCAACTTTCTGGTTACTTTTTTTCCTCCGCTTGGTATTTCAATGAATTCCCAGGATTGGTTACCACAAGTTTATGATAATTTCAGGGGAAAGGGATTGAGAAATTTTATATTAAATTGAGTAGAGCGAATAACTAAAGGTAAAACTTTATTGAAGAAATAAAAAAAACATATTTTTGCTCAAAGAAAAAGTCACCACAAACTGATAAAAAGTTACAAAAATACTTTGACATAAAAAAAATATTTTGAAACAGGACACTGTTTATCGAATGTCAAATAAATATAAATACAAAAAACAAAAATAAATATAAATAATGTCTAAAAAAGATGAATCCTCATCGGACTCTTCCGAAAATATAATTGATTTCGATAGTTCAACAGAATTTGTGGTGGAAAAGATTCTGGATCGTAGAACTTACAGGGGACATCTACAATATTTGGTTAAATGGAAAAACTGTACAGAAGAAGATAATACCTGGGAGATGGCTGCAAGCCTGGTAGAGCTTATTCAGGGCTGTGATCTTCTAATAAAATCCTATGAAAAGCTACAGACTCCATCAAGTCGCAGAGAACTTAATATAATATATGAAAATAAAGCCAAACGACTGAAAATTGACCCAAGCATAGTTTTGGAAAGTCCTTTTAGTAGAGATTTTAAGGCTGAAGAAATACTAAAAGGATACAAAAACAATGGCGAAGTCTCTTTCTTGATCAAGTTCTGGCACTTGAAGCAACCCCAAGTAGTGCCAAGTTGCATTGCTTATGTGGAAATACCCCAAATGGTTCTGCGTTTCTATGAAAAACACTCTGATTTTCCAAGCTCTCAGGCTGCTTTGTGAGTGTTTTTAAATACTAATTAAATAAAATATATTAATTGTAAATTCCAGAAGCAGTGACCAACAATGGAATTCATATTTTTCATAAGCTTAACTAAAGTAGAATCTCATGATGTTTATGTTTGTATTACAAAATTTAGTTGTCAAGTTAGTTTTTTGTTTTTGTTTTTTTTAATATATTTTAAAATAATTTTTGGCATCATTAAATTGTGCCAGTTTGCTTTGACATTGCAAATATTAATGAAGGCAAAAAGCCAACTTTTAAGTGATTTTGGGGCGTGTTTGTCTGGGAGGCAGTGTAAACATTCCTAATTGCAACAACAGCGGCGGCAAACAGCGTCAGCGCGGCAGTGGCAGTGGCATCTACGACAGCCAAAATGAAGGCAAAATATTTGCATTCCGTTTTTCCGGCCATTCCCTTGTCTCTTTCTATCAGTTGGCGTCGGGTTTTTCCGGACGGACTTTGCCCTATATTCGGGTTTGTTTTTTTGGCACTTGGGTTTTTCCTGGTCCTTAGTTCTGGAAAGCACAGGCACGTAGCCACAACAGCAGCAAGGTTTTGTTCCTGCCTTCTGCAGCTTACTTGAGAATTGATACTGCAATAGTTGACAAAGGAAGCCTCCAATAAATGAGAGTCCTTGCACCGCAAAAATCTTGTAATAATAGTTGAAAAATTAATATGGAATGGAATTGCAATTGTATTTATATGTGAATGTGTATATGTAATTTGTAATGTTATTAAAATGAATATAGGAGTTGTGCTTATAAACGTTGTGTTTTTTACTGGTAGATAACCTTCCTAACTCTCTCACTACTTTCTCTTGACTGAAACGCCTCTTAAAAATGTTTGTAAACTCTAAAATACATAAGAAAAATTAAATGTATCCCTTATATAACATATAAGATCGATATACCAAATATTTTGATTCAAATTATGAACAAAACTTATCGTAAACGAGCAATATCGATATTGTGACAGCTCCTCTTTGATTTATTTGTGAATTGATTAAATATTTAATATTTTTAACAGGGAAAATAATTCCTTTAAAGTTCATACTATATTCATTAAATTCTGTAAGATTTCTAGTCTGTAAGATTTCTAGGTAATTTCTTCGTAATTTCTAGGTATTTTATTTATTTCTCACAGTGTCTAGACCTTTTTGTTCGAGAGGTAATGTAGCGTTTGCTGCTGATTCGAACTGCAAGACAATTGGAAATGGAGAACAAAACAAAAAATTAATTACGTGCCTAGGCGTTGGCCGTATCTCCCACTCCGCACAAAACCCAGCGTATTCGCGTTTTTTTTTTTTTTTTTTAATTTTTTGTTTTGTTTCGCATGAGGTCAAGGGTTAAATACACAGCCATGCATACATGGAGGCCGTGTATTTGTTTACGTGCTCACCGACCCGACCCCCAAAACAATGGACTGACTGCCTGCCATTGTTTTTAGCCGCCCGGCAAAGATGTAGATTACGTGTGTGAATAAGGTCCTTCTGCTACCCTGGAGCTCATTATTGAAATTATGAATTATGCATTGGAAGCCAGCCACCCAACCCCCATCCTTGACTAATTTGAATATAAATGTAACTCATAAATATATATAAGACGATTCCCGGCAGACGGCGCCAGGCCAAGTAACTTTCCTTTCCCGCATAACTAACATAAAACAAATAATCAACAAAAACGCCAACTGCTTGGCCGAAAACACGACGACATCAGGTCAAGCAGTCAAGACAACAACCGCAGTAGCCACTGTAAGGAACACTCCAACTTTTATGGCCAAGAGCGAGGAATGGGAAAAGGTTGCTTAATATTTAAACAAAAGTTTTCTTTTGCTTTTTTGTGTGTTGCAACATATTTTTCCCTTGCTTGTCCACTTTTCGGGGGTGCCACCACCATCATCATCATCATCAGCATCAGCTCCAGCAGCCGCAGCATCAGCATCACCATCTTGGCATTCTGCTGGGGCTCTTTACTTTTGCGGCTTGGCATAAATTATGCCGCTAATTAAGTGCCTGTGAAGCTGTTAATAACAAAATGAATGGCAATTATCAGCGAGGCGACGGCAAAAAGGAAAGATAAAAGCTAAACAAAAATACCCAAGGCCTGGCGGAGGCAAGTATTGTGTTTGCCTTTGTGTTTCCTTTGGCAGGAAAGTGGAAGATCCTTTTCAATTTATTGGTTGACATTTAAGCTAAAACTCTTAGGGCATTGATTTTAGCGACTCTTCTTCGACGTAAGTAATTTGGGGTATATTAGTACTTTTTTTGTAAGGAAAATCAAAATTTGTATTTTGTTAAAAAATATACAATAAAATTTTATCTGTTATATATATTATAAAAATAAAAAACACCTGCAAATTTAAATTCATTGTCCTTTTTTCCGCTTTCTCCTATAAAATTCATAACTAGACAAATCAAAAATAATCTTTAAATGCCAAAAAAAATATTTTAAAAACTAAAAATGGCAGAGTTTAAATATGCAAATCCTTTTTTCGATTCTCTCCTATATTATTCATAACTATACGAATCAAAATAGAATTTTTAATGCTTCAAATAATTTCACACGAAAATTCAGCATATTAAAAAAATAAAGTCCAAAGCCATTTCAATTTTAATCCCCTCATCAATAAATAAATATATAGTGAGCAACTAATAAATAACTCTATACTTATTAAACAACAAATGATATAGAAAAACAATTAATAATGCAGAACTTTAAAAGAATAAAAAAAAAAATAAATAAAACAAATGAAAATGAAAATAAAAATGTGCAACAAAGAGACACTTTGTGGGGACAATGAAAAAGCCGCACTCTCGCCATAAATTTGATATCATTTGCTGTTGCATCGAGCGGCCTGCCAATTGCAATTAAACGCAATTTGTCGGCGGCGTGAAAAAAAGCGCAGTGTTTTTTTCAGCGAAAATCAAATTTAATGGCAACAGCAACGCAGGAAAAAAAAAATGCAGATAAAATTGCACTCAACTCGTTTCCACATTTCATTTCCACTAATGTGTGAGAACAGCGCTTGCTTGCCGATTATGAAAGTTGCAAAAATTTGTGTGTGTGTGTGTGTGTGTGTGTGTGTGTGTGTGTGTGTGTGTGTGTGTGTGTGTGAAAAATCGTTTTTCTTATTTCCTCGAACCACAGAACCACAAAAAAAAGCCCCCAGTTCAAACAAAACCCGCAGCAAATAAAAAAAAGAAAGAAAGGTACCGAGCAAACTAAATTATGCCCAAGAGAGAGGGGATCGGCATGGGCGGGGCATGTTGAAATGAGCGGGACGTGTTGGCAGAAAATAACAATTTATGGCCACCAAACGCCATGCTCTAACCGAAAAAAAAGGGCGCCACAGAAGATGAAGCTGCAAGCTGTGCATGGCAAGTAGGTGTTAAATATTTAATGATTGCCAAAGCGCAAACAGGCAGGATCCAGGCTGCTCCTTCTGCTGCCGCCGCTGCAATTCGTTAAGTGCTCGGCACACACCCACCCATACACACACACACACTGGAGAATTGAGTGCATACAATATGCCGCAATTTATGCGCACAATTGCGCTGCCACGCCCACAATCAGGGCATGAAGCCAGAGCCCGGGGAACACGTGCCGCAGGAATAGATCGGGACGGCAAACTGCTCCAACGACCGCAGAACTAATTGAAATTGCCAGAGCAGGCAGCTGGCATTAGTTTACCTTGCTCCTCCATCCCTGCCCCTTCTGGGGGACAGTTGCGTGATTGCAACCCCCTTTCCTCCAGTCGATGGAGGCACCTTTACCATCTCAAAACAATGAGCTAGGCTGCTGTGCATCTTGGGCACAAATGGGTACACGATGCGTATACGTAACGTAGAAGGTTGGGTAAGGTAAGTTAGAAGGTAAGCAAGAGGAGAGGTCTGAAGCTTCAAAATAGGACTAATTAGCGGTGATGACAAGCACTTAAAGGGCTAATGGTTAGGTATTCAATATGAAATTGAGCCTATGTTGTTATAATTAATAGATAATGAGTATTCTTATGGTACTTTTCCCCGGAAAAACAGTGTATTTTCATGCTTATTAGTCAAGTTCTTTAACTTTTGAAACCTATTTAAAAATATAATATTTCTTAGAAGAATTTCCATTTTAACTATTCCTTAACTTTAGTTTCTTGTATTCTAAAAACCAGCTTTAAATATTACAAATCCAATTTCCCTTTGAAATAAAACCAAATCGATTTGCCAAAACCGATTATTTCTTATGGCATTCAAGCCACTCTAAGCCCAAGCAAATGATTCACTTTGTTTTTATAAGCAATTTATCTTCTTCTTATTTTTTTGTTTTTTCCTTGAAACAAAAATTTGTGACAACAGCACAACTCTCAACGACTTTACTTTGCCAAGTATATATGGCCAAAAACGGAGAGATAAGACAAACAGACAGACAGAGGCACACAATCAATATGAGTACAGGCGAAAAACAATAAAATGGAAACATCAACTCGAGAAGTTATCAATGGAGGAAGGAGCAAGGGGAAGGAGGGGAGTAGTAGCTGCCAGGACACTCAATGTTTGCCTTTTTTTTCTCCTTTGTCCGGACAATGACAACAATGAGTAGCAATGAGCCAAAATGAATGAGTGTATAAATAAATGAATGCAACGTTTCAATTTCGGTTCAATTGGCAGGGGAAAGTGAAGAGAAAATGTCACAGAAATTGATCAGCATCAGTGGAAACTGTTTTTCATTACCTTCATTTTATTTCAGTATGATTTTGTGGGTAGTTCTAGGAAAATATGAATTATTCCCTTGAGAAATTGTAATTTGTATCAAGGATTTAGCTGAATTTGATAGTTTTCTTTAGGAATTTTGTTTATTAAGCAAGGGAATTACTTACCACACAGAACTTCTCGCTCTTCTTGGTGCACTCCTTTAGATAAAGATGGGCTATGTCCTTGGTGTAATTGGTGCAGGGCGTTATGGAGCCCACACCTTCATTGTACTGGCCGCACATGTGGCACTTGAGCCCGTCGGCTAGTCCCAGGCTGCCGCTGCACAGGACAATGGCCACCAGGATGGCCAGAGCCACCGTATAGGGACTGGCCCTCAGATGGGAGCTACAGCTGCTGCTGATGCTGCTGCTGGCGGCAATCGATCCCGGTGGAGCTGGCGAGAATTCTGGATGCATTTCCACTGACGAGACCTTGTCGTTGACAGCGGCTTTTGTTGACAATGCTTCCAGGCTCGACATTTTCATATGAGTTTCTGACCTTTACCACAAAGTTCACACACGCACACACAGGGGCACTTGGTACACTAACACACAATCGTGGACACACTGACAAAGTGACAAAGTGACGGAATGACACACTGATGCAAAGACACGAGCACTCACTGAAATTGCTATTTCGTTTTGTTTCTTTTTCAGATCGGTTTTTTCTTTTGTAAGGTTTTGGTTTTTCTTAGGTTATTTTGTTAATATATTATATATATTTTTAGTTTTTGCTGATATTTGCTTATTTGCCAGATATATTCTTGGTAAACTTCTGCGAAAGATCAAATTACATAAAATAAAATGTATTCGAGTGCTTGAAATACATAATCAGATACATTTATAGCTTGTTTATTTATAAATGAAACATATCTAAGGTGTATTTTAAGCAATTTTTTAGAATTCAAGAATTTATAGTTCATTTAAGGGTTTTTTTCTTTAAAAAGTTTATTTTCCCTGCTTTTAAATGTATTTTTTAAATTTAAAAAACGTCGGTAAAGCAGAAATCCAGAAATATAATAATATTTTTTAAAATTTTAATATCAGAACCTAAACTCTTATTTTATATATCACATTCTAGCTCATATTGAGTCCCAAATTCAATACTACATTATTTAGAACCAATATTCCTGGATACTTCCACACTTTTGAGCTCACACTTTCCCCCAAAAGCAGTAGCTTTATCTATTTGCAGTTCATGATGCTGAATAAATCAGACGAGCTGTCGATGCCCTGGCAAACGTTCGGCGGCTGCAAAAAAGTGGCAGAAATGAAATGTTACAAATTGCCAGCAGCTGGCTGCCACGCCCAGCAGCAGCTAGGAACAGGAGATGGATCCTGCCGAGCCATAAGCATGTAGGCCACGACCGCACAGGGCCACACGTAATTCTCGAACTCAAAAAATTGTTTTCAAATTGCTTTTGTTGTTAGTTAAATGCGCGAATGCGAGGGCTTGCCACAGGCAGAGTTAAAGGTAGAAGGGGTGTTTGAAAGTTCTTTTCTATGCGTTCAGCGTTGAGTGTTTCCACGAAAAATTTCCGAAAATACTTTGAGCAGGGCAGGAGGCGGCAGGAGCAGACCGAAAATCGTATTACGAGCTCTTTCATTGTGTACGTTTGTTGCCTACTTTTAAGCTTTGATTTGATTTGGTGAAATATGTATGAGAGGAGACCCAGTTTTTGTGGGGGGAGGACTGGATCAATTTGTGGCGGGGCCCAGGCCTCTGATTGCAGTTTTTCTATATATATTTTTTTTTTCTTTCTGCAGGCCCAAGCATCACGCATTCGCAGTGTGGCCCTCGCAGCAGCAGCAGCCAATTAACGAGTCATTTTGGTTCTGTCTTTTTTATGTGTTTCTGTTTTTTAATTAAACGAATGAATGCAGCCTCATAATAGACGACCTTCCGCATTCTATGCCAGCAAATGGTAAATATTTTCTTCTCATTTCTTTCGCTTCAATGGCAAATAGCAAAAAAAAAAAAAAAAAAAAAAACACAAACAAACAGCAACATCATACGACAAGATCTTTTGCAGAGATATTAGATTTTTTAAAGATGTTTTTATAGATAATGATTATTATAGTTTTTCGTTTATTTCAATATTATTTTCAAGTTTATTTTTAAATTATTTCAAGTATTTGTTTAGTTTTAAATGATTTTGCACTCAAAATCCACGTTCACCTTGCCTTTGGCTTACTTTTTGAATTAATTTCTAACTGATTCAGCTTAGTCCGCCCAACCGTGCGTTCCGTCTGAGTTGAAAATGTTGACTGCAGTGGCAGGAAGCTGAAGCAGCGGCCGCCGCAGTACCATCCGCAAGAAGCAGAGCGAAGGCAGCAGCCGATGAGGGACTCGGCTCGCGTCGCCTTCGTATTGGTCCAGTTGCCCAGTGGCTCTCAAACTGTTTACTTCTTCATTTTGATGCTGCAGTTGGGTTTTATTATTGCTAATATATATTTATTATTTTATTTATTATCGAGAATAATTCTTTAATTCTTTAATAAGTGTCTTATTTTTTATTATTATTTTATTATTATTATTTTTTTTTTTTTTAATATATAATCAGATAACTTTTATAAAATTTGTTATATTAATAAATAGTAAGAAATCCATTAATATGAATAGATTTTGTTGTAATTGTTTAAAATTTTAATTTAATTTTATTTTACTGATTTTAAAGTAAAATTATGCTATAAAATATGAGCCAAAATCAAATAAAAGGTTGAAATGAATTGCAAATAACGTAAAGTTAAATATTTTATTATATATATATAGTGACATATCCAAGAAATAAAAATATGCAGCGTAGGCGATCCCACGAAATCCACATCCGGAGCAAGCGATGCCGCTCTTCAATAACAAAAACAATTCTTAGAATCACTAAGTGCCCTCCATGGGTGGCACTCATGCTATAAAATTATTGTATACCACCAATATCTTTGTAAACAAAGAGCAGCACATTCAATTGATCTCAGCTTCTTGTGACAAAAATATTTCGACACAAGAAGCTGAGAATTGCGTTGTCCGTAGTCAACTGACGCGACATTAGTTCGACTCAATTAATAAACATTTTACTATATATATTTATATTACAAATTTGAGTAAATGGGAATTATAAGGCAATAAAATGGCAACTCCTATCTCCAACTCGCACTGACCTTAGTAGTTTAGTCAGGTGAGGAACTGTGGTTTTAAACTGAGTTAATAAAATATTAAACCTTTAACGATTTTCATTTATTTTCCTATGATTTTATACTTAGAACTTTTATTTTAAAGTAAAATTTAATTCATCGTTCGAATTAATATAAAACATAACATGCTTATGCCAATACAATTTGGTTCCTCTTGATCCAGTCAATATACTGGGAAACCTTACAGTAAACTCCAGGATAAGGAGCCACAGTGCAGGGCTTAATGCTCCAGGACACAATGCCCACCTGCTGACCTTGACAAAGCAGAGGGCCACCGGAATCGCCGCTGCACTGACCCTTGCCGCCCTCATCCACTCCTCCACAGATGTGATATCTAGGGTCCGTTTCGCCCTCATGCCGGGCAGTGCACTCCTCATCCGAATAGACCTTCAGTCCAACCTCCTGCAAAGTATTTTGGATGACGCCGCCCGTCTGAAAGGGATTTAAAGATACAAGTTATATAATTATTATCAAAAATCACCTATAAACTCACCGCATTCAGACCCCAGCCAATGAGCACACCCTCACTGCCTTCCTCCGTTTGAGGTGTGGCATAGGCTAGTTGGGGCAATTTCACGGGTGCCACAGTAACGCCATCAAACTCGAAAGGTTCCTCCAGCATGAGCAGAGAGATATCGTTGGCATAGCTGTTTTCCGGACTGTAGTCCTCATGCTGGATTATCTTCTTCACACGCACGACATTCGGACCCTGCGCGCTGATTGTGGTGACTCCATATTGGACAGTGAGCTGGTTAGCAGTGCTGCCGTCTGTGCAATGGGCGGCGGTCATGACAAACTGCTTGGAAATGATGGAACCGCCACACCAATGAGAGCCAGAGGGACCGCGCAGGGAAATCTAAGGAATAAAATAATGTGGATTTAGGAAATAAATTTAAATTCTTTTAAAAATAATCCTTGGCTAGTTTATTTTTACAACTCACCACAAAGGGATACTTTTCCACGCTGGAATCCGTTCCATTGACCACTCTTCCACTCATAGGCAGGGCCTGGGCTACCGAAGCAATGGCCAGAAGAACTATTACAGCCAGGTAAAGGTCTGGTTTCGGCAACATTTTGGGAGTTAAACGTGCTTCTCTGGCTTGGCCACCGTCTTTTATAATATTTTGGACTTGGCCGATAGTGGCCCATCAATATTATTTACGGGCACAGATAGTCAGTGATTAAATTTGTCGTCATTGATATAAAATGGCACTTGTCGGGGCAACAAACGATTTAAAGAAAGACCAAGAAACTGTGTTTTCACCAAAGATTATAAGCGTGTTGCTTATCGATGTTTTGGTTTTATAATATTTATTAGTTATTATAAGCCTTTGTGGTAGCTGATCATGTTAGGAAAATATACATAAATAATAATAAAAAGTTAACAAATATTAAGCAATTAAGCCTTGTAAATATTTGTAAAGAATAATTTAACGTAACTAGAATTTAATTACCGTTTAAGCAGTTAGTAGTTCATTGTTCAGTTGTGGTTAAACCCCATCTTCTATTGTTTAAATTTTTAAAGAAAGTGCTTACCGAAGAGGCTGGTATTTCCCAACCATAAACCCCCTTTTTGTAATGCTATAAATACACTTATATCAAATCCATTTAATCAGTGATTTATTGCAGGCTTATAACAATTAACAGAGAATGGGCATGACTAAGCCATTATGATTTGGTTCCTCTTGATCCACTCAACATACTTGCTCACTTTGGCGTAGACACCAGGATAGGGGGCCACAGTGCAGGGCTTGATGCTCCAGGACACGATACCCACCTGAACACCCTGACAGAGCAGAGGGCCACCGGAATCTCCGCTGCACTGACCCTTGCCGCCCTCATCCACTCCTCCACAGATGTGATATCTAGGATCCGTGCTGCCCTCATGCCGGGCAGTGCACTCCTCATCCGAGTAGACCTTCAGGTCCACCTCCTGCAGAGTGCTTTGAATATAGCCACCGGTCTGAAAGAGATTTCCAGATATAAGTTATATAATTCTTATCGAAAATCACCTATAAACTCACCGCATTCAGCCCCCAGCCAATGAGCACGCCCTCACCACCGGCATCCGTTTGAGGCGTGGCAAAATCAGCCTCGGGCAAAGTCACGGGTGCCACAGTAACGCCATCAAACTCGAAAGGTTCCTCCAGCATCAGCAGGGAGATGTCATTGGCATAATTGTTGTAGGGATTATAGCCCTCATGCTGGATGATCTTCTTCACTTGGACGACATTTGGACCCGTGGAGCTGATCGTGGTGACTCCATACTGGACACTGAGCTGAGCAGCAGTGCGTCCAGCAGTGCAATGGGCAGCGGTCATGGCAAACTGCTTGGAAATAATAGAGCCGCCGCAGGAATGGGAGCCAGTGGGACCACGTAGGGAAATCTGAAGGATAAAGGATAAAGGTTATGTTTTTCCCACAAAGTTTTTAGTTCCTTTCCACTCACCACAAAAGGATACTTCTCCACACTGGAATCCGTTCCATTGACCACACGTCCCATGGGTGGAGCTGCCTGGACAACGCCTGCAATGGCCAGGAGGGCAATTGCCACCGCCAGGTTAATATCTCCACTCGACCACATCGTTAGACTAAACTTGGGCGCTCATCGGCCTGACGGTCGCCTTTATAAGTTTACCGACATTGCCAATATAAGTAGATTGATTGCGATAATTTACGGCTAGAGATATGGTCAGAGATTGTACCTGATCGATTACCAGAGAGAGCGCCACTATCGCGTAGATCAAAAGACTCTTGTCCAGTTATCGTTAAACCATTTTAATCAAATTAAACACAATGAACAGAATGAAATACAGACGTGCCAGGCCTGAAAGGCCAGGGAATGTGTGGGTTCTTCCCGAGGTGAGCTTAAAATAGACAATCATAAGGGTTTCTTTTTTAAAAACTTAACAACGGTGTACAGTGGGTCAGTATACAGATGGAAAGGCCTTTAGAGTTAAACACAAGAATAGATTTGACATGGTCCTGCTCTACGTTAGTACATAAAAAGCGAGTCTAGTGTAGACATATGTATGTGTATATCTGTATATAAGTAGTATATAAGATCATAGAAGGCTACGTGACTAGGCGACTACAAAAATACTCTAACAAATGACGCACCAGGCGCCGGAAAATTGCTTATCAATTTCAAATCTCGTATTAATTTTGACTACTGTATGCTGCAGCTGCGTACCGTGGACAGCTTCTGCTCCTCCTCGTCCAGGTTTTTGGTGCTCAAAATGCTCTTAATGCTTTCAGCCTCCTTCATCCAGAATTCCAGCTGAAAAAACAAAACAAAATTCATTTAAAATATGATTTTATTAGAAGCTTTTAGCTTACCTGTTGCAGCAAAAGATTGCGACGTTCGCCCTTTGGTTCATTGTTTACAAACGGCACTAGAATGCCCAACGCTGAGGTATATGATTCCAAGGCCGCGTCCAGCTTGCGCTCGTAAAGATATAGCTCAGCTTTTCGTCCGATTTCCAGGCCAGTCTTCAGGGACGGACTTGAGTTTGAAAGGGCAACTAAAAACCAAGAATTTAGTTACAATTAACAGAAAAATCTGGCTTTTCTTACAAAGCTGCTTAAAGCGAGCATCCGGTTCCAACATTTCCGTCACCCTTGAACTGCTCGGCTGAGGTTCAGCCTTCTGTGCAGCCTGCGGTGTAGCCTCTGTGGTGTGTGCAGCCTGCTTTTGTCGCTGAGCCAGCATCCTATACTCATCCTCGATGATACAGTTCTTGATCTCCTCCGCTCGCTTCATATAAGACAGAGCTCGATTCCTTAAGGCCAGCCGCTTGGTGGCATCCGTCTCTTCCGTAATCAGAGGCACAAAATACTGCAAGGCACTGCAATATAGATAATAGGCCTCCTTGTAGTTGTGCTTTTCATCGTACGAGCACGCCTGGGTAACCAAATCAATGGCCTTTTGCAGAGTGTGCTCCGTGGGAAAGGTCTTAAGATCGAGGAAGGGATGGGCAAAGAAATCAGCAAACGAAATCCGCGCCGTGGGCTCGTGTGCCAGCAGACGACGCAGGAGATCGTGGCACTCGTTGCTGATGCGAGCATTGGGTGGCAGTGTTATAGCCTCGGCATTCTTAATGCGCAACAGTAGCTCCTCAATGGTTCGCGAACTGTAGGGCGCCTTGCCAAAAAGGCATTCGTAAAGGATGACCCCTATGCTCCAGAGATCCGCCTTGGCATCGTACTGATGTTTACGTACAATCTCCGGGGCCATGTAAAGTGGTGAACCCTTTAGCTGTTGGTTGATTTCTCCTAACTTTAAATGCTGGGCAAAGCTAAAAGAGTATAATTTGTATTATAAGCCATATTTTTTATAAATCTAAATTCTTACCCAAAGTCCGCCACCTTGAGGGAGACATTATTGGCTCCCCGGGTAAGCAGCAGGTTTTGTGGCTTCAGATCAAAGTGGGAGACATCATTGGCTCGCATATACTGCACTGCCGCCGCCAGCTGGCGTAGAAAGTAGCGACAGGTGCTCTCGGGCAAGGCCTTTTTGGTTCGTATAAAAGCGGAAAGATTGCCGGCATTGCAGTATTCCAGGACAATGTAAATGTTTCTGAAGGATATAATCAATAAATTAATATATATTCTATGGAAAAATGCTATATTCTTCTCTATAAACTAAGTCAAAGAATTTTCGAGTTTTTATAAGATACAATTTATGAATTTTATAAAAGGTAAGCCCCTAAAATCACATTGCAAATTAACCCAATATTTGACCTAGTTATACCCTTAACCACCTCTCTTGCAGCTCATATAAACCCCATAAAACCCTGGTAACTCACACTTTCCCAGAACCTAATCACCTTTAACCCACACACATCTAAGCCAAGAATGACTCATTCACCAGGCAAAAAGCCATAAGGATATAGGATAAGGATACAGCCCTAACCCCGTGGACTCTTACTTGTCGTCCCAGAAGAAATCCTGCAGGGTCACAATGTATTTGTGCTTGAGATCCCTTAAGAGGCGTATTTCCGTGATTAGGTTCTCCCGCGAGGATTGCGACAGCGTCGACATTTCCACATACTTGATGGCATGGTAAGTTCGCTGTTTCTGTGAAAGATAAGGGGCAATCGTTAATGGTTTTGTTAATCTAGAAAAAAAGAGGTGTTCTTAGTCGTTGTCGCACTTTGTGGCGCGCCTTGTAGACGGTTGCATAGCTTCCTGCTCCGAGTTTCTCGAGGATTTCGAAGTCTGTGATCTTCGGCAGGGACATTTGGAGGCGGTCATTTACAAAAAATGAATGTTTCTGTTACAAAAAATGTATGTTTATGTTTTTTATTGGAGATGACAAAACAGCGATGATACTATAGATACAATCGATTATTTTAAAATGACGATACATCGATGTACATTTTTAGTCTGTGTTCTTATTTGTATTCTTTTACTTGCAATTTCTATAATTTAAAGGAAAATTTATAATATTAGCTTCATTTTTATTTTTTAACTTTGTAATTATTTTACTTCCAAATTATATTTTTAAAAATCCAAACGAAAGATCTAGATGCCAATTTTCCCCCGCAAATGTAAGTCTTGTAAACCTAGCCTACTTTTTTAAGCCTTCTTTACTTGTAAATAATAATAATTATTATTTAAGATTTTATATTATTTAATTTCTAGCGCTCTCTTAACAGCTGTTCCACCAGTGCTGTCCATCAAAAAGTATATTCGATAACACTTGTTGCTCTATCGCTATTTTCGGTAGTCTTAAGGCATCCCTGGTTTCCGCACAAGTTGGCAGCGCCGTTCTGATTCAGTGTGTTTTGTTTTTGATGCGTTGCGAAGTAATTAATTTTTCGTTTTTATAAAGGTAAATAAATGCAAAGGCTTATACCAAAGTGTTTTTCATGAACTTTAGTAGTCCGGCCACAAGCCAAAAGCAACAGATTTAAGTTTGTGTAAAGATAAAGCCACTTAATTCGCTTCCAAAGTTTTCGAGAGTCTCAAAGCCCAGCTTGACACACCCAAAATAACAAATTAAGCAAACACGCCCTGGCCCATGAATGAAAATTGAAAAATAATACTATTTTTGTATAATTTTATGTTCATCCTACAGTTATTTATTGGATACCGGTAGGATATCCACCATTTACCCCCCGTGACGTCACTTGCAAGGCTTCATGATGAATTACGGCAGGAAAACGCCCTCCACATATCGCTCGAATCCGTCGGTTTATTCCCATGCCACGGGAAGGTATGTCCTGGTTTGATATGATAATAAGAATTACTAACTGATGAAACATCCTTTTTCAGATCCTCGACAAACCTGCACTCGAAGATGTCCCGGTCCACGCGATCTGTAAGGATTCCCTGGTACCAGCGACCGCTGCTAAAGAATAATCAGTATATCGACATACAGAAGGGCGCCATGCTCATTGGATTGTTTGCCATTGTAATGTATCCTTGGAAATGTTCTTCTTGGGCATGTAGTTTAATGCTGATAATTTTCTTTTTTTTTTAGTTTCTTTCACTGTTTACCATTGCCACGAGCATCTTTGACATCTATTGTTATGCGATGGCTGCGCCAGGATCTACACATTATGGCTATTATATTATCTCCTACGAGTTTGTCTATGTGGGCAACAAGCATGGTAAGGATTTATATAATATATATAATAATCAGGCCTGCTCCGGTAATCGAAAACGGCAAGATTTTTTCGTATTCGTTTTTGAAAACGAGAAATTGGTGCTCCGGTAATCGAAAACGAAAGATTTTTTCGATTTGAAAAACGGGCACCTTTTTCTGGCCGGAATGAAAAGTAAATGGCTTGTTTTATATGAAATCAGATCTTATTTACAAAAGGAAAAAAATAGTTTACTCAGTGGTCTATTGATGTTAATTCCACACCACCACAAGATCATTCTGGCACGTAGTTATTTTTTAAAAAATTTATTTCTGACCCCACCTCATATTTGACAACAAAATTTTTGCCGTGTTCAACCAGTTTTCTCGTTTTGGCGATAGGTCGATAGGTTCACCGCAAAAAGTTATCGCCAAGGTTGCCATATTGTTGGTGGAACGAAACATCCAGTTAAAAATACTTATAAAATATAAATGAATACATTAATAACTTTAAAGGACCGCCAAAATGGTTGTTTATAAATAATGCTATTTAATGTGATTACTTAAATGGTCCAAATTAACCAAATACTTATTTGAGACCACCGGAATTAAAACTGTGAAAAGTGTGGCAGCATCTTAGGTGCCTGAATTTGCTTAATTCTACCATTTTTTGCCTTTTTCTGGCTTAGAAAAAGGGCAATTGTAAATATAATAGGCAGTACTTTACGTTGTTTGCTTATTACCAACAACACAAGTTAGCTGCTTGAGCAGTGAGAAACGATGAGAAAACGAAACATCCGATAGCAGAAATTTGCCGAAAACCGGAGCAGCTAAAAACGAAAACGGTTCGTTTTCGCCCAAAACGAAATCGAAAAAATTTTACGATTACCGGAGCAGGCCTGAATATTCTTATTTTTGGAATTTCAGGGGTTCTCCCAAGGAGTGTTTTTTAAATATTAACATCGTTTTTCTTAATTTAAAATTATTATTTTTCATAAACTTTAATTGAACTTAGTGAAAACTAGAGTATTTTCTATATTTTTGGCCTATTGGTCTCTCATTTTCTCATAAATCTAGCACTATGAAAATTATTTTCATTCCTATCTTTAACTTATTCTTTACTTTTACTTTTTCTGCAGTTCGCAACATGCTGATTGTCTTTGCCCTATTCTCACTGATCATGGCACTAATTAACTTTGTGACCAGCGTCCTGCTCTGCGTGGCTCTGCGCAAGGTAAGTTGGATTTCAGGATATATTTAATATTAAGTATAAGCATGCAAATTCATTTCAATTTCTCATTGCCCCAAAAAAGCAAGAAAAACTGGGAGCACAGAAACGCTTACTGAGCAAAAGGGTAACACAAATGCATACCCGCACCAATCATAACCAAGAAATTAGCACTTGAACCATCTTGAATTGGCTGGATCTCATCTCTAAAAGTACAATTTATGTATACTTATGATTTCCCCAAATCTTTCTTTAGGAATACGAGAGGAAGGTCATGCCCTGGCTGTGGACCTTTGCCATTTTTACTGTGTGGCGAGCTTTGGCTTTGATTTTCTTTGCCATTGTCAACGATCTGTACTTTGCCTACAACATAATCATGGTGCTGCTGTGGAGCGTCTTCTGTCTGGTTTCTATATACGGCTGGGCTGTGGTGTACTCGCTCTTCTTGGAGCTAGTGGATCTCACCAAACTGGAGGATTTGGCTCATCTGCGCGTAAGTTTCCAGAGTATTATTATTAAACCATCAGATACCCAATTAATTTGTTGAAATCTCCTTTTCTAGATGGGCACAATGGCCTCGCTGCACGCCTCTACGGCTAATTCCCTGGCTGGCTCACGGCCAACCACACCCCACAGCACTGTGTCTACGATGCCCGTGGGTTAAACAATAGAGTATTTTCCAAATCCAAACCTGAAAAATGGAGCTCACAACGAAAACTGCACAAGAAATAACCCCTAATGCTTCTTCGTTTTACACAAAAACACGCATTTCTTAAACTATTTTGTACATTCCATCCACCAGTTCCGTGCCTTAGAGAAAACCTCTCTCGAAATACCACAAATTTTATACACGAATCTGCGTAATTTAGTTGTAAGTCAGTCGCATTCCGTCCAATTGTCGTATGTTTTTTATACATGTATACTGTTGATGAATCTCTGCCTACATATCGTGTTTTTTTATATGCATATATACAATATATATGTGAAATGTAGCCTATGTATCTAAAATAATAAGCGACAAAGCAATATGCAAAATACAAAAACCCGAAAATACATACAAAGTCTAATGACATCTCTCGGGGGGATCATTTTCCGGGCGTTAACCAAAAGAACGCCCACAGGGGACAGCCATTCATCTTGGTCCAGTCGAAACTCTTATGATTGGGAAATCCACAAGCATCCATTAGGGTTTTCCACTTCAGGGAAATGTTGATAAGATTTCGGGGAAAATCCAAACAAGCATATTTGGGTAAAATCGGGAAAATGTATTCCCAAAAGTAATAATTACTTTTTGTGGTTAATTGTTTACAATTAATTCCCAGAACTTTGACATTTCTATAATTTATTTTCGTTTTCTTAATCGTATTTTAAATAATTTTTATTAAATTTAGAAAAACTCATTTGGGATTAATCAAAAGATCAATTTTACAACAGGCTAATCTTTGTTTTTAATTTATGAACTTCTGTCATACAATAGAAATAGTCATAATATTTTTTATAAATTTTAAGTACATAATATGTACTACATATTGATTTAGACTTCCTATTCCAGGATAATGACATTGTCTTCTGTGAACCCCTACAAGTGGGAACTGTGATTCCCCCTACGCATCTGGAATTCCCTGAGAGTGCAAGTATTCCCCATCAATATCATCTTTGAAATACAATTGCTGGACTTGTGTTTCGGTATGTGTGTATTTGCAGCGTTCAAAGTCAGTGCTCTGGTCATTAACACCCGAAATTATGGGCTCCAGCCCCGGCACACACACCGCAAAGTGGGGCATTTCAAGTACACAGCAAGTCAAGGCACAAACACTCGCCATGGGATGTGTGGAGGCCAAACAAAGTTCAATCAACTGTTTTTGTTAATCACTCTCTGGATGACGACAACTCGGGTGCTTTCGTAGTGCCTCCCGCAGGAGAAGGAGGTCTGGTTATGGTTCCTCGTTGGTGGTGGTTGACCTACCCTTTCCCCATAGATATTTCCGTATCTGTGACACTTTCTTGGTTTGGACTCGTATACTGATTTCCTTTAAACCTTGTTCTATTATTCTATCAGTTATAAAATGGTCGTTATTTTTAAATAATTTTTCACTGTAACTAGCGTTCACTGTACTTGGCAATTCTAGCTATTATTAAGCCATCACTGACGGCTTTTGTTTGTTGTTGTGGTAGAACGCAATTTGTTGCATGCGCCGTTGGCTTATCCAGAAACAGAAGAGGAAAGCGTCAGCAGAAAGCGCTACGCAGCAGCAGCAGCAACAACGACAACCCCATAAGCTTGGCTAGCAATAACAAAGCGTGACATGGCATAGGGGGCTGGGTGGGGTGTGGGAAATGGAAGGCAGGGAGGCAGTTAGCAACGTTTCATTGTTTACTGCAATTGCGATTTGCTTTGCTACGCATTAAAGTTCAACAAATTGCGTTGTCTCCAGGTCCTGTTCTCTCGCTCTCCCTCTCTCGCTCTCTGTGTACTGGCTGGTTTCCCCAACATTCGCACAGCTGTTGATCTCAGCAAACGGTAAATGCCGTCGTCGTGCACCTGTCTCGCTCCGCAGCAGGTTGAATGCACCAAAAGCGAAATGGGACGGATAAGCCAACGGGGCAAAGAGAGAGGGAGTGTGTGCCAAAAATACACCAAGCTTGGCCATTCTGCTCCCTCTTTTTCTACCAATTTAGAAGTCTGTTGTGTTGTCCTTTTTTGCTGCTGCTGCTTCTTTCTCCTTTCTCGCCTGTCCGATGCACTCACTCTCCCACAACCTTGTACAGTGTGCAATGTGCATGTGCCCACATGTTTACATAAGTACATCTGTGTGCAAGAAGTACATACTCTATTTGTAGCTCCATAATTACACTGAAAAAAATTGCGTAGTTTCTATAATTCAAAAACAAATTATTATACAAAAGATTTAAAAAGGTGCAATTTTAGTTCAATTAAGTTTAGTTCAGTTCCACTACAAAGAAAAAAAACTGTATTTTCTATTAATTAAAAAATAAAATGTAATAATTAAGAACTTTGAAAAACTTTTTAAGTAGGATTATAGAAAGATCAAATTACATAACTTGTAAATATTATATTTTGGTAGAGCAAACTTAAATAACTAAAGTTAAGGGAATTACACAGTTTTTTTAGATTTTCTGATGTAAAAATAGTGGTGACAACAAATTAAAACTAACAAAATCTCGTCTTACATTTCCGATTAATATAAGTAATTAGTAATGTTTACAAATATTGTTTCCAGTAATTACGTAAACATAAACATTATTAATTTTAACATTTTCCATACTCATAGATTGGGGGTCTGAAGAATTTTCGTATTCCGTCGCGGGCAGCCAGTGAACATTTGTAAGACGCACCTTGTTATCAATCACCCTCTTTTTGTTCGCTTTTTACGCATTGTTTGGGAGCACCTTTGTGACTCTTTCTGTTGCCATCTTACCCCACCTCCCGCACAATTGCGTTTTGGTTTTGTGGCTAAAAACTGATGGTAAACAAACTGCAACGCAACGGTTAAATCGGATGCGGACTCACCACGCTCTCCTCTGTTAGCCCTGCATGGAAGAGAGCATTACACCCGCCCCCACCCACACTCCTCCTGCTCTGTTATACTATCTGGTACTTCTCACCACGCGCGGCTGTTATGGCTGAAAACAGGAAATAATTTTCGTTTTCTATAGAAAACACTGCTGGCAGCCGTCGCTGTTGCGTGTCTGATTTTATATATTTTATTTTTAACGCTCTGCGACTTTATACTTTATACTACACATCGCAGCGTTCGCGCACTTGAGTTTGCCTTTTTACGTCTCGTATAATTTTGGAGCTTTTCTGGCCGTTGCTGTGTCTGCCTTAGCTGTAACCTTGCCTTTAAGTTTACAAAGTTCGTTAACATTAGCGCTTATTGAAATTTGTTATTATTTTTTGTCAGCTTTTATTATTTATCAACGGCAAGGTTAATGCAGAACCAATTTCGTAGGCAGGCGCGACCTTTGATTGCTAAAATAAATACACTGATTATATCGAGAAACTTCCCAAACTGGATCTTAGGTGATACTTCATAGTATTTCGTATAAAAACACGATCACGTTGAGCCTATGACCTCTAATTAAGCGAATTCTTAGCCCCACTGATTTTGTGTTTGCCTTTGCATTTGTTTTGCGAGTGATCGGGGAAAACACAAAAACATTTATAGCAAAATTAAAAGTCAAGACGAATATTGTTATACACTTTTTAATGCAAAATACAGCAGTGTTGTTCAAATGGCAAACACAGCTGGAAAGATATTAGTTTAATTCCTTATTGCCCAACACTCTTTAAGTGAAGGCTGTCTTTACCAATAAGGTATCACATCGGAACACAATGTAGGAAAATTTAGTTTAACTCGATCAAAGTGGACCACAGAACAGATGTATTCCAGGTGAGGGTGCTTGAACGAAAAACAAATTGCAGGCCTGTTAACCTGCGCGAAACTCACCACGGCCAACTACAGCAATTTCACAATATGGCTATGTTATTGAGCGGACTACAATTGTTCAAGACAAAGCAATTGGGATGCGGAGAGATGAACTGGCAGTTTCAACATAATTGCTTTTGTTCACAATGGGCAAAGGCAAACGCATAGAAATTGATATTAAAAATGATTTTTTAAAGTGCGCAGTTTGCATTGATGACGCAGCAGCAGCGCTCTCTTCCGCTGTTAACTGCGCTCTCTCGTCCTCCCCTTCCACTCTCTTTCGCTGTTTCTCTCTCGAACAATATGGCGTCGTCGAAATTGTGTCGTCGCCTAATTTAAAATCACACGAAAACCATAAAGATTATTAAAAGCGCATATGAAGGTTTGCGAAACGCCCAGTAAGCATAAATACTAGCTGCTTTTTGGCAGGAACTCTGTTTTAATTTAGTCACAGCCCCCTGCGCTCTCTGTCGCTGCATTGGTCTTTTGTCTCTGCTTCCTCTCTCCGTCGTTCTCCCTCCTACGCCCCTTCCTCTCATTCGTCTTATTGTGTGTGCACTTTGCACTGTTTTTGCTAACGGGCGCTGTTACTTAACATAGTCGTGGTTTTCAGTAGAAATACGCATTTTCGACCATCTTTGCTCGAATCACATTTAATTTATTTCTTACTTGCCATCTCTCTGGCGATTTCTTTTTAGCCCGTCATTCTCTCCCCTCCCCGTGCACTCGCACACCAGCCAACGGTGCTCTCTCCGAGTTAACAGCGCTTCTTTCTTGTAGAGATGGTCGAGTGAGCTGGGTCTAAGTTCGTGTCACGAAATGTTAGCGAATATACATAAGCAAAATATAATTTACTCAAGAATATTTAAAAAGGAAAACAAAGTTTTACTTTCATATCATTGGAGATTAAATATATGTATTTTAATTATCAAATTAGTTAATCTTAATATTTGTATTTTTTAATTATATAATATAATAAATTATAAAATATAACAATTTTTATGGAAAACCAATCAATCAATCAATCTAAAATGGTTTAAAATCATGTCTTACTTTACGCCCACAACATAGTTCGTGCCTTGTTTTACACCGCGACCAGAGGCAACCGCCGCTCACGCACGCACCGCTAGATTGAAGCCAGCAGAGCGCTGTGCCGAGTTCACCACGAGCTGGCTGCAAACGCGACGAGTCTTGCTCATTTCAGTTCGAGACTTCAGTTGGAGACTTCACTTCGCGTTTGGAGGATAGGATCAGATCCACAATTACCCACAACTGTCATCGTCAGCGCAGCGACTTGCTAACTAATCGAAAGAAATACTGTAGAATAAAGTAAAGAAATCGCGCTCCCCTCCCTCTCTCTCTCCGCCCGTTCGCCTTGTTCGCTGGTGTGTGCGCCGCGATAAATCAGAAAATCAGTAATCCGAAATCGGAAAACTGCCAGCGTTTCGCTCGCAGCTCGCAGTTCGCAGCTGAGAAAAACCGCAGGACGCAGCTCTCCTGCACTCTGCGTGTCGTCGTGTGCGTTAGTTAGTTGTGCCCAAGGAAAATCGAAAATCCTGCTTGGTTCCTCGCAAACGGAGAGAAACCGTTTTAAAAAGCAAATGCAAACGAAAGAAGAATAGAAAACAACTGCGTCGTGCACCATTTTGTGATATATTATTTGCCCCTTCTCCTGCAACAACGATCCCTGTGCAATTCTCTGTAAAAAAAAATTAAATAATTACTAGCAACCAATTTAATTACTGCGAAACCATCAAAACGAATAATTTCCAACTGTGATCCGAACAAAAAACTCTGAGTTTTTGTTTCAAGCCTGTGTAATTTCCACGAAACGGATTGGAAAAGTAAGTGAATTCAATCGAGAAAAAAGAAAATTATAAATTATTTCATTTTCCTCTTCGCTCGCCTACGTTGCGATTTCACCACCATCAATTCCCCACGGTCACACTCTCTTCACCACAGCCACACCAATACACACGAGCGAGCCTACGTCACATGTGCGTGAGTGTGTGTATGTCTGGCTAGCGTTGCCATGTCGCGCGAAATACGAAACAAAAAATTTAGGAAAAATAAATAAATAGCAGTTAAAAGAGCTCGGAAAATGGATTTATTGTTTCCCAATTGAAGAAACGTTCAGATATTTAATATTCTTTCTTTCAAACAATTTCCCGATAAAGACATTTGAATATATAATTTATTTTCAACAAAATATATTTTTGTAAAACTGATTACTACATAATTAATTAACAATTACGTACTTTGTTTTCCATTTATCTAAATGTTCTGAACTTAAACCTTGATCAAGTTCGTATCCGTTTTTCGTTAATATTTTTCGCTGTGTGCAGCCAACAGCAGCTGCTGTCTAACTTTTAGTTTTGGGTACTTTGCCAACGGAATATTACGACTTGCCAAAAAACTTAAACTGAGGCGAAAACCCAACCGCGAAGGACGTCGCCTGCTGATAAGTGGAAAACAAATGACTGATAGCTCAAGTACATACACACACCACCGCACACACGCTCCAATGCTGACAGAAGATATCGCATAATTTAGGCAACATTTTCCGCCTTATCGCCGACCCTAACTAAAATTTCTTTATCTGCACTCCACGACTTTTTTTTTGTGTTTTGTTTTCATTTTATTTTTACTTTTTGCCTGCAGTGCGTGACTGGAATTTTTTGCTCACTCACTTCGGATGACTCATGTAGACCCGTATTTACAAACATATTTATATAGCGAATTTGAATTATCTACGGATTCTTATCAGCAGCTGCATACGGGTTTCGGGTGCGATGACAACCCTAGAAACAGTAGGGTGCTCGCTTAGCTGATTTGTATTTTCCCAATTTCAATTCCCTTTTCATTTTCTCGGTGACTCACTACTTGCCATTTATGTTTTTTTTTTCTTTACAAACTCCAGCTCACCTTGTAACAATTATAAAAGAGTACATATTGGTGGCTTGTGTGTTTGCTGCATTTTTGTTTGCTTTTTTCTGTGTTGCTTTTTGCATCCCACACGTGTCGTTGCTAATCGGAAACTTTTTGGTTTTTATTTATTTTTCGTTTTCTCATAAAAAGCTATTGTTTTGTATCTCCGCGGGGCACGTTTTCTGTCATGCATGTACATAGAGAATTTCCACACGTCAGCCGCAATCGCACTTTATTCTCGGTAACTCAGAACCTGTACCTGAATTGAACGACTTTCTTGAAATTTCTGCGTCCCATTTCGCCATTTTCCATTGAATTGTGTGTGGAGAGATAAGAGAGCGAATACGATTCGAGCGCTAATTATTTTTGATTGGCTCGGCAAGCAGACATGTTTACGAGTGAATCAGAAAGCCAAATAATAGTCGGTGATAGAGCATAGTAGGAAACACTTGAATTCATTTTCGTTGATCTTTGTTCAAGGCAGTTTTATCGTTGAAATTGGCAATTGATATCTGGCCTCACATGGAGAATAATAGCCAATGCAACTAGAGATTGTAATAGCGTATTAAATTGATCGGTTTTGACCCTAAAAATCTCTTTAAGTTGTAATGATTCTAGAAAAAATTAATCTAAAGAAATTTCAATAAATAATTTTAATAAATAATTTATTCAATGGTATAAACCCTTTGCTTGTAAATAATCAATAGTCATTCAAGTTCAAAGTCTATTGATTGCTAGCGTGTTTGTTGTTTAATCACGCTAGTGATTCATGGAGCCGTTAAATGAAAGCTATACACGTCATTTAGAAGTGAGTAAGGGAAATTGTTTGCCACAAATAATGTTTGCAGAACCTTCCCGATCCCAAATGACTAATCCCCCTTCTTAGCTATTGTTTGCTTCAGATTCTTGGCAAAAGTCGCAAAACAACAACACGTGTCGTTGTCTCTCGCTTAATATCTAAAATTATAAAAATTGAAATTCTGGCAAAAACAACAGACAAAAGAGCAGCAGCGCTTTTAAACAAGTTTTGCTGTCGTTCGAATGAAAAAAAAAACAAATGGGGAAATCAAAATGAGTTAATAAACATAAAAACAAACAAACGGCCGAGCGTCTCACGTACTAACGATATACATATATTTATCATTTATATATATCCGTAGTGTGTACCCCCTTCCCCATTCCGCGCTACGCCTTTTATTTTTCCCCTCTATTATTTTGTTGTTGTGGCAAATGCTAAATGCTTTTATATAAACACACAAATACGCATCAGACTCGGGACTGATAAGCGTATAGAAAAAAATATCAGACGTCTGACGTTGGACGCGTGAATGGCCGCGGCCTCATTTTCAGTTTGGGTTTGTTTATAGGTCGCGTGTAAATGGATGCCGTAGCACCCGCACCCCAGAACACCCCAAACCACCCACCCAACATATGGCATCTCGATCGGAGCTTCGGCTCTGTTCGGTTTGTATCGGATCGTAACGTCTCGTTTTCGGGCCTTTTCATTATCTTTTGTTGCCGTTTTCGAAATGTTTTGTGCGGAGCAGAGCGCTATTTATAGTACTCTAATCCTCTATACTTGATCTTCTTTTTGTCCGTTGTCGTTGTGTTTTTATCGTGTATCTCTCTTTTTTTTAAGTTATGCAATTTTTTCTTCTTGTTTTTGTTATTGTTGTCTCTCCATTCATCCATATGTGCTGGGTGTACAGGCTGTACCTCGATTTCGAATATCCAATGAAAATGGGCATTAAGTATGCACATAAATCTGATTTTTTTCGGGCAACACAATTACGGCGATAAAATGCGGGCGTAGATCCCAAATGTAAATTAATTTGGTGTCTGCATAAATTGGATTAATAGTGAGTGGATGTCATCAATCAATGGGCCCTTGCATATTTTATCCCCAGAATTTTCTTTATCAATGATATACACAAAAATGTGTATGTATTTATGTGTACATCGTTGTTTATTTTCTGGGAGAAAACCAAATAAAAATAGACCAGAACCACGAAAATAGTGCCAAAAATATTTAGGTCAACTCATAAATTTCACCTAAATCCGTATTATTTTATTTGATTTATTTTGCCCATCAATGGTAGCGGGCTATCCTTGGCTGCTAGTCCTTGATTGTCTGTCTAACATACATAGCTGCCGTATTTCAACTTTAATGCAATTTTAATTTCCTGGCTTTGTGTATGAGGAAACCGCAAAAACGAATAAACAAGACAACAAAATAATATACAAAATCAAGCCACAAAGAGAAGCGACAGGGGGAAGGAAAAAATAACAACTAAAATAAAAGCCAACAACTGGCTCACCTTGTGGTTGGTTGGTCGAGAGCCACAAATTTTCTATCCAACATCGATTTTCCCATTGCAATGTCTAACCTTTCTCCTCCCTATTATTGTTATCTATTCCCCCCTAGTTTGTTTTTCCTTGTTTTCAATTTTCTCTTCAATTTGCCGTACAGGTTTTCATTTTTTTCTTTCATCTGGTGGGAATCGATTTAGGCGCCCGATTGGTTTTTAGCCCCCCGCCCACGAATTAAAGTTGTGCCCGATGGTAAAGAGGAGAAAAAGCTCTCGCCAGCAATTTAAATCGACTGGTTTTCCTTTAATTTCCTTAGATTTTCCTAAGCGCCGACAAACACAAGCCTGTCTGTGCCTGTGGCGCGCATATTCACCACATCTGGCAACCATGGCGACCGTTAACTTCCCTGCACCATACCGCCCTGCCCCGCCCCGCTCATGAACCGTTACTCCAGACAAAATGAAAAGCGAAACTTTTCCTGGCCCTGCCTTTTCCTTTGTGCGCTTCCTTCGACTGCCTCGCCCTGTTCACTGGACTTCTTTGTCTCGCCTTGGTCTTCAGTTCATTGCCTTTCTTGGCCGAAGAGAAGAGCGTATGAAAGCAGCTGAAAGACGCGTCCAAGAGGAGCCAAGAAAGGAAAGCAGGAGCAGCAACCACAGCCAATCCGTAATGCATAAATCAATAAAACCAACGATGCACGCTGCTTTATAATGTAAACGAATGGAAACGCCACCGCCCAAAACAAAGTCATCATTTCATCTTGGCTCTGACTCAGCTGCAGCAGCCTTCAGCTGCTCAAACTCATTTCAGCTGAACTCATCCCATCTGAACTCGAGGAGATATTCTCTCGGTTCCCTCGACAAAGTTCAAGCGCCAACGGCAAAGTTCAATAGCACAAAATGGCAGTTTGCTAAACGAATATTACTCGTTTTACAGGCCAACCTCCCTAAAAAGACAAAGGAAATCCTAATAGCTCAATGAAAATAGTTCTGCAGAATACATTGTGTATAAATGATTATGATAAAATATTAACTATAATTTAAATGGTAAAACAAAGTATTATAATAATATAATTACTGAAATATATAATTACCAGCTTGGTCTCTTTATCACGCATCTAAGTATTTCAGTTTAAGGAAGCTCTGCTGTATTTTCATCTAGCTTTAAATCCATCTTCCACTCCCATGACTCAAGGCTTCCGCATCTGTCATTGTTTTGCTTTTGTTTTCGCATTTTCCGTCAGTCTGTCAGTCAGTCAGTCATCGAAATGACCACAGTCTTCAGTCTGCAGACGAGACGAGAGTTGAGTCGATTTTTAAAAGCTCAGAGAGAAGAGTCTTTGAACGGCCTTCGCTGCTTGTTGTTCCAACACATAATGCCTGCCAGATTGGATCGCGCTTGGTTACTTCTTCTTTGTCTTGGATATATCTCTCTTGCGTTCGTTTCGTTGTTTGTTTTGCTCCTTTGTGCACTTACTTTTTGTGAATTCTATAAAACTGGTTTCTCCTGCTTTTCGGCGATGTGTGTGCGGATTGTTGAATCGCGGCCATAACACCAGAGCTACGAACTCCACTCCACTGCCACTTGCACTCCGCTACCCGCTTCG